AAAAAATAAAAAAATAAATAAAACAAAATAAAACAAAACAACAACGAAAAACAAGAACAAAAACCCGCCTAATGAAACCCATGCACAAAAAATGATAACAAACAAACAAAGCAATAAAAAAACAAAACAAACAACAACAACAACAACAAACAACAACCGTGGAAACAAATGGCCGCAAACAGATCTCACTGAGGCTGAAAGACTAATCAAAAACTCACTGACGAATGTATTTACCTGGCGGCAGTGAAAAGTAAGGGAGACAAGCACGATAAATCCATCCTAATGTTGGAAAATCTTGTTTTGTCTCCCTTGTTATTTGGACGCTGTGTGAAATCCATAGAGTTACCCCCTTTCGTATAGTGTACATCTATGGTGAAATCAAACAATGATTTCCACCTCTTTTTTAGATGATGACTTAGAAACATTTCTCATTTCAAATAAACATTTTTGTTAAAATTTAGTTTTGCTCACCTTTCCATATATGGTAGAAGTAGAAGTCGATTTCTGAGGCTGTTAAACAAAGGAAATATATGTAATTATGTCAAGTTTCAATGTGCTCTTGAAAACAACGCTCCAAATGACCTCTTGGTGTGCATTTATTTCGCAAACTTTACTTAGACCCCCAAAACCCTTACTGGTAATATAATCAATGCATTAGCTATAAATCCTTTAATTAATGATAATATTGATAAATGCATTAGCTATAAATCTTTTAATTAATGATAATATTGATAAATGCATTAGCTATAAATCTTTTAATGACAATATTAATAAATGCATTAGCTATAAATCCTTTAATGATAATATTCATAAATGCATTAGCTATAAATCCTTTAATGATGATATTAATAAATGCATTAGCTATAAATCCTTTAATGATGATATTAATAAATGCATTAGCTATAAATCCTTTAATGATGATATTAATCAATGCATTAGCTACAAATCCTTCAATGATTGAGTACGTTTTTTTTCTCCTTTGTGTCCAGATTGAGCAGATCTGTGGCGGGGTCAAAGAGCAGAACCTGAAGCTGACCTTGGCCTTTGGTATCGGCATCCATCACGCCGGTCTGACGGAGAGAGACAGGAAGGTCGTTGAAGAACTCTTTGTCAACCAGAAGATACAGGTGGGGGCTGTTGTTGTTGTTGTTGTTGTTGTTGTTGTTGTTGTTGTTGTTGTTGTTGTTG